CAGAAATATAGATCAATGGAACAGGATATAAAGCCCAGAGATAAACCCACACACCTATGGTCAACTAATCTATGACAAAGGAGGCAAGGATATACAATGGAGAGAAGACAGTCTATTCAACAAGTGATGCTGGGAAAACTGGACAGCTACATGTAAAGAATGAAATTAGAACACACAAAAATAAACTCAAAATGGTTTCGAGACCTAAATGTAAATCCAGACACTATAAGACTCTTAGAGGAAAGCATAGGAAGAACACTCTTTGACATAAATCACAGCAAGATTTTTTTTGATCCACCTCCTAGAGTAATGGAAATAAAAATAAACAAATGGGACCTAATGAAACTTAAAAGTTTTTGCAAAGGAAACTTCAAACAAGATGAAAAGACTCCCTTCAGAATGGGAGAAAATATTTGCAAGCAAAGCAACAGACAAGGGATTAATCTCCAAAATATATAAACAGCCCTTGCAGCTCAATATTAAAAAAACAAACAATCCAATCCAAAAATGGGCAGAAGACCTAAATAGACATTTCTCCAAAGAAGACATACAGATGGCCAAGCACATGAAAAGCTGCTCAACATCACTAATTATTAGAGAAATGCAAATCAAAACCACAATGAGGTATCACTTCACACCAGTTAGAATGGGCATCATCAGAAAATCTACAAACAGTAAATGCTGGAGTGGGTGTGGAGAAAAGGGAACCCTCTTGCACTGTTGGTGGGAATGTAAACTGATACAGCCACTATGGAGAACAGTATGGAGGGTCCTTAACAAACTACATATAGAATTGCCATATAACCCAACAATCCCACTACTCGGCATATACCCAGAGAAAACCATGATTCAAAAAGACACATGCATCCCAATGATCATTTCAGCATTCTTTACAATAGCCAGGTCATGGAAGCAACCTAAGTATCCACTGACAAACGAATGCATAAAGAAGATGTGATACATATACAATGGAATATTACTCAGCCATAAAAGGGAACGAAATTGGGTCATTTGTAGAGACATGGATGGATCTAGAGACTGTCATACAGAGTGAAGTAAATCAGAAAGAGAAAAACAAATATCATATATTAACACATATATGTGGAACCTAGAAAAATGGTACAGATGAACTGATTTGCAGGGCAGGAATTGAGACACAGATGTAGAGAACAAACGTATGGACACCAAGGGGGGAATGCGGCAGGGTGGGGTGTGTGTGTGATGAATTGAGTGATTGGGACTTACATGTATACACTAATATGTATAAAATGGATAACTAATAAGAACCTGCTGTATAAAAAAATAAAATAAAATTCATATATTAAAAAATTCAAATAAATAAATAAAATCATGTGAATAAACATATAGAGCAGAGTTCAGAGAGAAAACAAGCTTTGATTTATAAGATAATGTTTCATAGTGGTAGCTTCATTACCTGAGATCATTAAAAGCAATATGCAAGTTGCTATATGTGGAGATAATAAGGAATCAATCTTTAAACACAAAGAAGTCAAAATATGATAACATAATTGAGTAAATATATAAACAGAGTGTTGATCAAAATTTCAGAAACTGTGACTTGACTGAAAATAAGTGGTGTTTATCTGAAGTTTCTTAGGACTTCAGCCTGGGAGACACAGATTCAAGAAGCATTTAAATTATGTTCCTCCTGACTACAAAATAGAAGTTTATAAAATTCAAAACTGTAACACCATAGTTATTTACATGAGTTCTTTGTCAAGAATTATAATTGGCTCTGACAAAAAGTAAGGACCTTTGTTAAGCAACAATGGTTGGGGTCTGAAATGGTTGTATAGTTCCAAGGGGACGCCTTGAGGCATAAAGTTGCAGCTGGCAGATGTTATCCCAAATACAGCTGTTGGTGTCCTGATACGGTTCAGAGAAAATTCAGGTTCTCCGTGGTGCAGGGATTTGTCTGAGACTAGATCCTCAATGGCCACCCGACTCCAGTTTTGTTATGTCTGAACTATGATTACTCCATTACAATTTCAATTTGTCATCAAGAGTCAGATTCAGATTAGAGATATCAGCCTTGGGTGAAAAACCTGTGAAAGCAGATGCAGATCAAGGATTAAGAACCAGTGAGTGAGTAGACAGGATGGGCTGTGGGAGCTGCAGGGGTGCCTGCCTGTGAGAGGAAGAAGCCACTGGGGAACCTGAGTCCCAGACTGTGCACAGGAACAGACTTGGGAGAGACCAGGTCCAGGACTGGGTTAGGATGGTGTGTGTTCCACATTACATAAATAAGTTTGACACAACATACTCCAGATGCAGGCTGCCTATTGTATATGCCTGAGCTCAGACAGCTCAGGGTGTTCAGTCCAAGGATGGAAATGTGAAGGTGAAAAGCTTTGAAAGGAAATTTTGTAATGAAGTCAGAAGATGTGAGACACAGAGGGAAAGAATCTCCATTTTCTGGAAATGTGATACAAGATGAGCTGGTAGAAATGCAGTCTAGTATACCCTTCTTCTGGAAAAGAATTTGGCAACATATAACAAAAGTATATACTCTTATCTTTTGACTGAGCAACCCCATTTCTAGGAATCTATTCAGAAGAAACAGTTGCAACAATATGAAAAATATACACAAAGTTAGCAGGGTTATTCATTGCAGCATTGTAACTGAAAAAAATTGGAAGCAATCTAAATGCCCCCACATAGGAGAGTGGTTAAATAAACTATGGTATATGCACTTAATGGAGTAGGCACCTGTCAAAAAGAATGAGAAAGCTTTTTATGAAGTGATATAGAGTGATTTCCATATATCTATACCATGTGATCTTTCCTGTTAGAAAATGTGAATAAGAAAATATATCTGCTCATTTATGAAAAGGATAACTAGGAAGTAGCAACCAGAAACTAATGAGATTGGGTACTTATTCACAGAGGATGGGTGAGAATAGGGGAGTAAGAATAGAAAGGTAGGATGGGAATGGAGTGGTCAGATGAAGAAGTGACATTTCTCTGAGTACACCTTTTTGGAAAGCTCTGACTCTTAGACCCATGTAATGTTTTACATACTCAAAAAATAAACACATACTTAAAATTAACCAAGACTTGGGGGAGGCCTAAATGAAACATAAACGGTAACAAATGAAAGTGACTGCATTACAAATGAATAACTATGCTGAAGAGGATGAGAAAGGAAAGAACAAATCTAAGAATTTTGGAATACAGTGTTTTGACTATA